TGCAAAAACCTTAAAAAAAAAAAAAAAAAAAGAAAGAAAGAAAATGAAAAAGAGGATTGAGAGAAAACCCCCAATGCACTTGGAGCTTTCTTTCCATAGGGGGAAAAATAAAATTAATGAAAGTTAATGATAACTGGTATCATTAACTTATTTTCCATTATTATTTCAGAAGGCCTCTTCTTTGTCCCTGAGGTATCCACAATTACCTTGAAAAAGAAGGCTCATTTAATAACTAGGGTAATATTACCTAGCAGTTAAAAATAAAATAATTATGAGGAATGATTAGCAATGATAAAAATTCCAAGACTTTACTTTGGGATAATTGTATGCACTCATTCTTTTCATGAAAATACATAAATGGACAAATACAAAATTGAGTTAAACTTTAAATACATTTAAATTTAATTTGCTGATCCTTTTGTTTGTAGAGTCATTTATAAATTATATTATTCTAACTGTATTATCCTAACAGGTTACCTATTAAAATAATTCACTTTTTTACGATTAAGGTAATTTTAATTTTGTTTAGAGTTAGATCAGATAGTCTTACATAAAAGCAGCAAATAGGAATTTCTCTTCATTGATTTCTTTCAAAAAAGCATGTAAGGCCATGTAGCCATTTAGAAATAAGTTGCGTTTTGTTATTTCTTCCAGTCTCCATTTTGGATTCTAAGCATTCCTTCTGAAGATATTGCAAGAAACTTAATGAAACGGACAGTATGTGCCAAGTAAGAGAAACTTACCATGTCTTGTGCGTGAGTGAGTGTACGTGTGCTTCTGTAATTATTCAGGCCTGGTTTTGCTAGGTGGAAAGCGGAAGTGGTTGGTTGTGGAGGGAGCTCAGTTTAGCTTGCAGTAACTTGCATTTGCCACTGGATGGTGGTGGTAGAACAGAGGAAAGTTAATCTGCTGACCAAGGGAGCAAAAGAGTCTCACTTGAAAAAGAAATGTAGAAGCACTTGCTATTGGGTAATTTTTTCAAACTTCTGTGTTAAGCAGCAGTATAGTATAAGGTGTAAAATACTATGTTCTCTTGATAGATACCACATTTAATTATCACTAAAGTTTGAAAATCCAAAACAATTTTTTATAAATGGTTGTTAATTGATGAGCAGATTAGTAAGTGTAAGATGAAGATGTTTTACTATTAGCGATTATCAGATCTTGGTATGAATTAATATAATGACACTATTCGTTGTTTGTCTTGAGTATCTACATTTTATTGTAGCTATTTTTATTGTATTTTTTTCCTTTTCTTTATTTCTTGTCACACCCCCACTATTAGAAAATGTTCTGTCATAGGCTTTAAAAAATTAAACTGTATTTTCAACTAGCATCTTAAAGACTGATCTTGCTTGTGTTATCCTTGGGCTGCTTTTAATTCCTAAACATTTAGGCAAGTTGCTGAAAACTTTCTTTTCCTTCGAAATTATAATAATGCAATGCAAGTAAGAATGCACATATATGTCATTTTATTAACATGGCTAGCAGTGCTTTATAGTGCCATATGTAATTGTTGTATTACTGAACTGGCTACAACCCCATATTTAGTTAATTTCATCCTATTGAGAACTACCTGCAGCTGTAAATCTCATTTCTTAAACTGAAGCTTGTTAATGTTAGGTCTTTTTTATTAAATAGATATTGCTAGAAGATGGAAACATAACTAAAAAAACTGCTTTGAATAATTATTATTGTAGATTAGTATATTAAAATTTATAGCTCTAAGGAGAGTTTGAATTCCAGAGATATGGCTTATTAGGTTTAAAATAGCTAATTGAATACTAAGAAATTTTACACTTTCTTCAAAAATCATATTCTCTGAGGCATTTTTTTTATTAATGGTAAAATTAATAATTGAATAATCTTAGATAATTTATTTGGTCACTTTTTATTCTATTTTTGTCATAGTTGAGGTATACCTTAATAGCTAAGGAAGAGTAGTTTTACTGTAGATGTTTTCTCTCTACAAATTCAATAGACAGAAAAGGAGGAATGTGTTCAAATTCAAAGAGCAAAATTCATAGTGTAATTGTAACAATAATTATACCAGAATGAAAATAGACTTTTATAAGCATAAGTTCAAAACTAACTTTAATTCAAAATTTTTGTGACAGGATACGGTTTTAATGTTAATTTTATTTTCTCTTAATATATCACAAAAAGAGGTTAAAAAAAAATACCTGGGTACCACTTTGTTAGAGCTCACCTTTTATTTTTTTTTTTATAGAGAGAGATTTTTGCTTTAAGGCACATGTGCTCATCAGAGAGACAGAGAGAGACAGCAAGAAATCATCCCCAGGGGGGGATGACCATGCCACAATCCTTTCTCCTCTTAAGATTTTGGGCACATATGCACACTCACCCTATGTGATTTTCCAGCTGCCGGGTCCAGGACTTGAACCATAGTCGACTATGTGGGAATCCAGCGATGGGACCATTACTCAATCCGCTGGTCCCAAGAACTCAACGTTATAAGCGACTTAATTGCTTAATGTTATTAAATAATAGCTAAACATTAATAGTATAATTTTTATCTGGATTTTCTTTTCCTTTTGTTTAATGAAGCCATTGGGAAAAATTAGGTTTTCTATAGCTTTCTACCTTTTTCACTAAAATAACTTAAGTGACTTTATTGCATTATTTGTTCTATAACAGTATAAAAATTTAATGATGAAAACTTGGAAAAATCCTGACTTATTTTGAATTTTCCTCTTTCTATGTAAAGTTAAACTTCTATGTGTGGTTTGGACTTAGTTATTTGTTTTTAGGATATGTATTTTTCATTCATAGCTAAGAAGACATAGGCACTGTTTTAGCGGAGCAGGTGTAAAGATCTAGTAAGATAACGGTTAGATATTACTGTGTGAACTAAGACTGTTACTGAGGTTAGTATCCACCATTTATTTCCCAGGTCTATATTTGAACTGTGGGGTCATGGAAAGTCTCCCGAGGAGCTGTACAGTTCTCTTAAAAATTACCCCGTGGAGAAGATGGTGAGTAGTGAAATGTGTTTTTATACAGACATATGTGTAGATTTTCTAGAATTACAAAGCCTAAAAAACTTACCTGCTTTTGTTTCAGGTTCCATTTCTACATTCAGAATCTACTTATAAAATAAAGATTCACACATTCAATAAAACACTGACACAAGAAGAAAAAGTCAAACGAATAGATGTAAGTGAATTTAACAAAAACAAAAAATCCTATAGGATTATTGTACTCTAGGTATTGTTTATTTATAAGAATACCTTTTTATTTAAAGAGAGATTTTTACTATAGGGTGTGTCTGCTCACTAGTGAGACGGGTGGTAAACAGAGAGACAGAAAGCGAGAAATTACCCCTGGGGTATGGCCATGCTGCAGTCCCTTCTCCTCCATTCTTCTCTCGGGATTTTGGGCACATGTGCACACATAGCCAGCGTGAATTTTAAGCCTCTGGGCCTGGGACTCAAACTATGGTCAACCACATGGGAATCTAGTGTTATAAACTTTATGCCATCTGCTGGTCCTAATATGTAAGAGTACCCAGTATCTCTTAAGTGTTTATTTTTACCACACTTTGTGCTAAGCACTTTTTATGTTTATCTTATTTAATGCTGACAACAGACTTACAGTGTAGGTCTTATCAAAAAGCACTATTTTTGCCAATAATACATTAAAATTACTTTTATTTTTCAGGCACTTGAATTTCTGCCATTTGAAGGAAAAGTGAATTTAAAGAAGCCACAACATATATTCTCTATTTTGGAAGATTATGGTTTGGACCCAAATTGTATCCCTGAGAATCCACATAATATTTATTTTGGTAGATGGGTACGCATTTGTTCTTTTACCTGCTTCAGTTTATTTCTTTAAAAGCTTAAAGTTTAGCTTTCATATTTGACTCTTTATAGGTAGAACTTCAAGGCAACTGACAGAGTCAGAACTACTAAATGGATTAAAATTGGTGAAGAGTATGTGATTGTGTTGTTTCCAGAGATTCCTATGAAGTGCAAGCAGCTTATTAAATGTAGGGCCCAGAGAGGAGGTGATATAATATAAAACTTGTCAGAAAATCTGGACTATTTTTTTTTTGAATGAAGCAGAGAAATGGCAAGAGTGATGTCATGGTTGAGGTATCTCATTTGTGGGAATCTCCAGTCTAGGTCTTTCACTCTGAAAATAAGTAGAATTAGTGTAGAGCAGTTCTGCGTATGCCCCTGAGGCTGTAAGTGGGTGACCACAAGCTGTGACTTATGTTACAGATTATTGTTATTTCGGAGGAAAAAAGAGATGAGAAAAGCTTACCTATCACCAGTCCCTGAAAAAATTGCATTCAGATCCAATTCATATTTGGTTTGAGAAGACAAAATAAATGGAAAGACATTAAGAACTCAAAGATACTGCCTGTCGCCACCTCAATCACATAGTCTTACATAAAAGCAGCAAATAGGAATTTCTCTTCATTAATTTCTTTCAAAAAAGCATGTAAGGCCATGTAGCCATTTAGAAATAAGTTGTGTTTTGTTATTTCTTCCAGTCTCCATTTTGGATTCTAAGCATTCCTTCTAAATGTGTTCTAAACACATTTAGAGTAGTAGTAAGGAGTACATTCTCATCAACATGATACCATGGTTTTATTGTGAATGCTTTATTTTCAGCCTGTTCTGTATGAGTATACTGACTTGAAAACTATCTCTGACCTAGATTGCAGATGGACAGAGAGAGCTTATTGAGTCATACAGTGTCAAAAGGAGACATTTTATTGGAAATACAAGCATGGATGCTGGTTTATCGTTCATCATGGCCAACCATGGAAAAGTGAAAGAAAATGATATTGTGTTTGATCCATTTGTTGGAACAGGTATCTGATTTAACTGTTAAGGCAGTACAGAGATGTTGCTTGTTTGTATTAGGGAAGGTGATAGTAATATTGTTCCTAAAAGATTAAATGGAGAGAATAATCTAATAATTATCATGAGATGATAGCTAGAAATAGCAATATAATTGTGTAAGAGCCAGTATTTAATACTTGTGCCGCTTCAAACATGATGCTTATGCTGATGCTGATAGAATTTTGTAGGTTTTACTCCAAGTAAACTACTAGGAGGGAGCAGTTTACCTATTTTTAATTTTGTTTTAAAAGCATAAACTTTTAATGCCATACAGTGTAGAATGCAAAGCTATATGATTTACTTAAATAGGGAAACTCTTGGGGGGAGTGAGACAAACTTAAATAAAAGGACTAAAAGTGGTTCATAGTTTAAAATCGTTAATGTATCTTTGACTTGGTTTGTGGAAGATTAGAAGTAAGTGTGGAAATAAGAGAAGTGACTGAGAATCAGTGGGCTAGATCGTGGCTGCTATGGCTCTAACCTGGGTTCTGTATGCACTTCATAGAGATGCCTTATTCATTAACTTTGTGTGCAAGTCCTGAATCTCCAGTTTACTTTCTTGGAGTTTGTGAAGACTTTATCCATCTTCACCTGTTTTTTTCTTGATCTTGCCCATACCCAGGGAGTAGTCATATTTAGGTTTGCCTGGCTAAAGCCATTGTGGTTAGATTCCCTTGGAACAAACTACGCTTGTCTTTGGAGTCTCTATCCTTTACCAATCTTTTCCCATCAGACACTTTGTAAACAGCGTTGTTACAGTTGCTAACATTTGTTGAATACAGAAATGTTTCAAGTCCTATGCTATGTTCTCTCATGTTACTATCTAATTTAACTTAATTCTCACAACACCTAGCGTAGAGATAATTTTTTAATATCTTCTTAAAGACATGATGACACAGAGGGTACATGGCTTCACTAAGATTATATGGCGTTTAAGTTTCAAAGGGTTCAAACTCAAGCACTCCAACTCCAGTGCTCATGCTTCTTTAAAAAAAAAAAAAAGTTTACTTCTTCCTTTAGAGAGAGTGTCACCCCTGACAGGGTCTCTACTCCAAGAAACACTCTCACCTTAGCCACAATCTGGCATCTTCAGGTAGTTTCCCAGGACACAAACTCAGGACTTTTCCACATGGGTCCTACTTGTGGCACAGCTTTGACACCACTTGGCCCCAGAGCTTACGGTCTTAACTACTTCATGGAGATGTCTCTCTGCATCAGGATCTGTCAGCTATTAGATCATAAACTAACCCAAGGAATGTGATTACACATGATTAGGGAGAAATAGTGTCAAGGTTCAGAGATTTCTAACAAACACTTCCTGTGTTTGTTTTCAGTATTGCACCTCACTTTTCTCTACCAGTGTCTCCATATATCCTACCTCCAACATACTACTAATTTCTTCCTATCCTTATCATCCTAATGCATCTCCCAACCTTCTCAACTTCTTATTGGAAATTATACCCAACTCACAGAAAAGTTTCAAGAATAAAAATAGAACAGAGACTATCCATATATCCTTAACTCAGCTTAGATTATTAACATTTGACCTCAATTGCTGTATCCTTTGTTCTGTTTATGTTTATATACCTAATATTTTTTCCTGCACCATTTGAAAGTTGCATCCATCACATCCTTTTACCTCCTCAAATTCTGCAATATTTATTTCTTAGGAATAAGGATATATTCACTTATAAAATCACAGTACAGTTTTCAATGTTAGTAAATGTAGTACTAATACACCTTTAACATGATATTTCTTTTTTTTTGGAGAGGTTTTTCGCTATAGGGCGCGTGCGCTTGCCAGACAGACAGAGAGAGATAGAGAGACAGAAAGCGAGAAATCACTCCCCAGGGGGGATGGCCACGCCACAATCCCTTCTCCTCCATTCTCCTCACGGGATCTTGGGCACACACGCACATGTGCCCGGTGTGAGTTTAAGCCGCTGGGTCCGGGACTTGAACTGCGGTCGACTACATGGGAGTCCAGCGACATAGCCATTACGCTAACTGCTGGTCCCATGATATTTCATTTTTGTCAATATAACCAACTGTGTCCTTTGTACCATCTTTTTCCCTTTCTGGTCTAGGATTAGGTATGTATTTTTTAAAATCAGTATTTCTTTTCTCTCTCTGATTTATGACATAGCCAAAGTCTTTCTTGTCTTTTATGAAATTAGCACTTTTGAAGATAATCCCCCCAACTTTTATTTTTATCTAGAATGATCCCCTTTTGGGTTGTTGCTGTTTCCTCATGGTTAGATTTAGGTTGAACATTCTTGGCTAGACTAGATCATTCACTTTGTGTGCTCCTCAGATTACACACCTTGGAGCTCTGTCCCTCCTTGGTAATCTTAATTTTCATAAGCTTGTCAAGGTGATGTTTGATTTTTTTTTT